AGAAAGCTCTTTGGCAAGAGGATTGGTTATTGGAGAATAACCAATGCTTGAGAATAGCTTTGCCTCCCTGGTCCCCATGGTCCCATTTAAGGAAGACCTATCTCCCAAGGAGTGTACCTTCCTGGCCTGGTGCTGCAGCCCTCTCCAGACTGAGAGTGGCCACATCCTCCACCCCCCTTGGTGGCCTGCCCTTCTCCGCCAGTCACCTTCGGCCCAGATTACTGCAATGTCCCAACTCCCTGCTTCCTCCCTGGCTGTCTTCCAGTCCTACCCCCACCAGCAGCCAGAATGTTATCAGCTATCAGAGCGCTCCGTTCCTGCTTACGGTTCCAGCCAAGCACCTAGGCACAGCATTTAAGCCCCTGCAGGACAGGGTCCTGAGCAGGAGAACTGCTGTCCAGATCTTCTCCTCCTGACCAATTCCTCAGGAGAGATGCAGGATTTGGGATTAACAGTAAGGACCATGTCCTGGGAGGCTAGCTCCGCCAGTTTATGGGTTAACCAGGCCCATAACCAATATGTGTGAGATGCCTGCTGCCCCCTGTGCTGGCACTTTCTCCAAGAATTAGAAGGCTATAGGGCATTTGTTAATCCCACTCTTGGCTGACCCACAAGGCCTGGGAAGGGGCTTGTCTTTTGGACAGAGATGAAAATCAGGGCCAGGACAGAGAAGGTCAAATAAATCACACATCCGAGTTAGAAGCGGAGGCTCAGGCTGAGCGCAGGTTTATTATCCAAACTTAAAATGAAATTCAGCAATTAAAGGAGATAAGGTCTGGGTGTGTGTCGTTATCGTGGCTGTCAGGCAGCTGTGGAAGAGGGTGGGGGTGGACCCCTGGCCTGGGGAGCCCTGTGGGACTCAGGCAAGTCTCAGACAAGCCACTCCTGCTTGCTGAGCCTGCCTCCCATGGGGCATCGGAAATGAAGGTGCTTTGTGAACTGCTGTGGGCAGTGCCAGGTGAGGCTTTCGAGCTCACTGGATCATGGCCAGCACCCCAGGCATTAGCTTCTGCTTGATAGTGGGGTTTGTAGGGGGAGAGTCTTTGGCCTTCAGAATGACCTCATGGGCCTCCTGGAAGAGTTCCTCCCCCACCGCTGCCTCCACGTGCTGCCGCCATGCAGCCAGCTTGGGTCGGCCTTTGAAGACTTGGCAGCCAGCGCCCATGGGCTGTGGGGAAAAGGGACAGAATGGGGATGAATGGGTAAGGCCAAGGACAGGCAGCACAGGCCCAGTTTGCGGAGCACAGAGCTCCAGAAGGGGTTTCCACACATAAGCACAGGCCCACCGCTGGGGGGAGAAGGGGGCACCATGTAAGCAGCACTTCAGCAAGTAGCCAGGGCCCCTGCCTGGTGGCCCCCATGCTCGCAGCACTCACATGCATCAGCTCCGTGATGGCTACCAGGTCTGCCAGGGAGATGCCGGGCCCGGCGAGGAAGGCCTTGTTCTGGAGGAACTTGTCCTCGAGCAACTGCAGGGTCTCATCCAACTCTGCCAGAGTGGCTGCCAGCATCTGGGGAGATACCGGCTCACCCAGGAAAACAGGGAGCATCACCTGGGGTTGGGTAGGAAAAGAGGGAGTTAGGGGCCAGCCTAGCCTTGCAGGCAGGAAAACACCCCCCCCCAAAAAAAAAACAACACACACACACACAAAACTAGGAGTTGCCTCCCGGTTCCATGCACCTTTCTTCCCCAGCCTGGTTAGGGACTCCTTTTCCCAGAAATATTCCTGTTTCTGTGATTTCTGACTGGCTGAGCCTAAGAGGCATCAGAAAGAATGATTCAAACTGAACGGGTTTAATACTTTTGGGGGGAGGGAGCTAGCTTAGGAACTATTTATTTTACAGCCCCTTTCCCCTCTGAATATAAAACCCGTACCTCTTACAGTGTAAGTAATCAGGAGGATGGGCTTTTAAGATCTCCGCTCTGTCACTTACAAACTGTGTGATCTTGAGCAAGATACTCAAACCCTCTGAGCCTCAATCTCCTCATCCATAATGTAGGAACAACGGAGTGCATAGCTCATTTCGTAAATGGCCAATGAGGCCCAGAGAGGGGCAGTCGGTTGCTCAAGATGGCACAGCCAAGAAAAGACTATGCCAAGCATAGAACCAACGTTTTCTAATCCAGTGAGATGTCTTCTAACCCGGTGATCGTCCAGTCTAAGGAGGAGAGTTAGGAGAGAGTGGGTGGTGTCCAGGATTCCCGGAGGAGGCCTTTGGAGGGGAAGCCAGCAGCAACTGTCTCAGGTTTGGCAGAGCCACAGGGACACATAGTGCATGCTGAGTGAGGGAGGGGCTATTTCTT